ACGACTGGACTTTAGTGATTCCTCTCCCCACTCGATGCAGCTCACACAGGAGACAAACAGGCTGTTTAGGAAACCTCCTACTGTACTATAAGGTTCTACTGATATGTCCAAAATGCAGCGACAGTGTCTGACCTTTTCATTAATGTTAGTAAAACAGTCTAGAGCTTCCCCCTCTGTCTACTGGAGATGTAACGATGCACTCAACTCACGATAAGACTCTCAAGATTTATTTTACAAAATGAGACAAATTATGACAGAAAAAGGTTTTTCATGTAAACACTTTGTAATCTCTCCTGCACTTTGGGGCGAGCGAGGCTGCTTGTCAGTGTGGTTTGGCCTTTTAATGTTTGTTTTTTCACACGACAAGGGGAGGTGATTTGAGCTTCTCGTTGTGGTGTCGATTAAATGCTGCATCATGTTGGTTGTGCTATTTGTGTGCTTCCCCGTCTTCTTGCAATAATTGCACACAGGTTTCTCACCTCTTTCATTTTCTGACTTGGGGAAGCCAAAATGTTTCCACACCTCCGATTTAAAAGACGATGGTGCATCGTCATCAAAAACTGTAGCTTTATCCAAATTAGTATGAAATTTTGGCAATTTGGGAAACTGTGGATCTCATAGGGCTGGGAAATATATTGAGTTTTTAAGATATAGCGATATATTTTCAAACAAGATATAGGGTAATAGAGATATAGGGCCTTTGTGGTCAAGGCCCTCGCCTGTGGAACAGCCTTCCTCCCTCAGTCTGCCCCCTCTGTGGAATCTTTTAAGTCCAGCCTCAAAACACACTTATACACGTTGGCCTTTGAGTCCTAGTGAGGTTGCACATACTTCTTTCAAATGTACTTCTATCAAATGTCTTATAATATTATTATCTAATTATATTGTTAGTATTCTGTTTGCATGTGTGTAGGCAAACTTGTATGTGTGAGTTTTGCCTTGTTATTTTAATTTTTTTTAAATCTGTATTGCTCTCTTGTTTCATGTACAGAACTTTGGTCAGCTGTTGCTGTTTTTAAATGTGCTTTATAAATAAATGGGATTGATCTCATCAGGCGTTGTTGTTGTTGTTGGTTACATTCTTTTTGCTCCAGGTGGAGAAAGATTCCACGTGTGCCGTGTTCGGGCTCGGCGCTGTTGGACTGGCCGCCGTCATGGGCTGCAAGGCTGCGGGGGCGAGAAGAATCATCGGATTGACATCAACCCTGCCAAGTTTGAGAAAGCCGTGACGCTCGGAGCGACAGACTGCGTCAACCCCACAGATCATAAGAAACCCATCCAGGAGGTGGTGCTGGAGATGACCCAGGGAGGGGTGGACTTCGCTCTGGAGTGTCATGGAAGTCCGTCTGTCATGGTTTGTGTCTCGCTCGTGTTCAGAATCAGATTGACCACGAGGCTCCACAGTGTGACTTGTGGTTGGTCGGTCAGTCTTTATGTTCAAAGAGCTTTCATCATAACTTCCACAAAAAAACAAAATAGTCACTCAATTACACAACTCTTCATTGTGCAACTGAAACGTTTCAACACTCATGGGAGTCTATGAGTTTGTACATTTTTAGAATAAGCAGTATTTTTGATTTGTCCCAGACCGCAGCTCTTGAGTCTACAGCAGATGCGTGGGGTCTGTGTGTCATCGCTGGCTGGAATGAGACGGAAACGATGAGCGTCAAGGTGGAAAAGATCCTGATGGGACGCACCTTGAAGGGGACTTATTTTGGAGGTGAACTTTAACATGTTATCATGCTCTTTATAATACTTCAATACAAGTCAAAATACACTCCAAAGTGTCAGAGGTTAAAGGTCAATCAGTGAGATGTGTAGTGACCCCTGTAACTTTTAACTGAAGAGGAGATGACACGGGCTTTGAATGCTTTATAACAAAAATCAACATCCTGAGAGTTTGTAGGAGTCATTTTTCTGTGTCATGATTTAACTTACTGTTTGTGTCTTTTCCTTTAGGGGTTTATTAATGTCTGTTTTGTGCGTCATCCTCTCCTCAAGGTTGGAAGAGTGTGCAGGATGTACCTAACCTGGTGGATGAGTACATGGCCAACAAGCTGCAGCTGGACGAGTTTATCACACACAAACTCCCACTCAATCAAATCAATAAGGCCTTTGACCTGTTGAGCAGCGGGAACAGGTAAGGCCTGACTTATCAGGGTTACTAGATCTGTTTGTGATTATTTTGACGCATCATTTGGGGTCAAGGAGTTGGTCATTGCTGAGTTTAACGTTACATGTGTGGGGTTTGATTAAAGTATGAATCACCCACCTGTTCCTCATGTGATGATGACGACTCCATGTAGAAGTCCAGACGCCTTTTTCAGGAAGCAGGTCCGGTTCAAACCCGAGTCGGTTCACCCTGAAACAAGGGGAACTCTGGGTTTTACATTTTAGAAAGGCGGGTCTCTCAAACCCAAAGAAGAGGAGTAACTCAGCCCGTTCTAGAAAGAGAGGTAGCATCAGCTCTGGGTCAGTTACTACGGTAACCGAGTCTGTGACCTTAACCTGGTCAGGAGCAGGTTTTACTTTAATGAACCCTTTCATGAGTTTCTCTCCGTCTCCTCTCCCTCACGGAGCCAGAAACATAGTTTCAGTCAGTCAGTATCGTGTGTGTGTTAGATAATAAATAAACTAACTAATGTTTATCTTAATGTTCAAATGATTTACTTCACTATCTGTTCATCAAATTATATCCTAACCTTTGTTTCTTCTGTTCCCATGTTTTTGTTCGTAGCATCCGCACTGTGATCAGCCTGTGGTGAAGGAAGAGTCTCCCCTTAAAGTGGAAATACCTTAAAGTATCACGTACGAGTACATTCAATGTGTTTGTAATTAAATTATGTGTAAAACTCTGTAGGGTTTTTAGTCTGGACATTTTTCAAAGAGCACCTGGCTGCAGGCTCAGCAGACCTTGGACCTCTGTTTTAAACATGTGCAAGAAGAGTCTCATCTGTAATCAGGAAATCAAGTGTTTACCAGATCTTATTTGGTATTTCTTGGCAGCTAAAATTAGAGCAGCTGTTTTCTATCTTAAGACTATCTCCCCATCTTGGGTGTAATGGAATCTACAAACAATTGTAATCCCTAAAAATGATGTGCTATGCAGAGAGGAAAAAAGTGAATCCAACAAACAAAAAATGAGGAACACATTAATGGTACGGTACAGCTCTTGCACATCTGGGGAGGGAAAACCAGCTGTCTCATTTTACAACACTTTTTGGTACAGATGACGTCCTCTCTATCCAGCCGAGAGGACGTGACTTTAGAACATCTTGAGACCTGTTTGTAAACAAGTGCAAAGAACACAGTGTCCAAAAGATTACCCTACAAACGGCTTAGCAGAAAGCACATTACTCCAGCTAGTTTGCATTACTTCAACACGAATATCCCTGACACATGCATTAAATGTGGCGTCCACAAGGAGTCTCTGTTTCACAGTATGTGGGAGTTGGATCTGTGCAGTCAAAAAGAGGTGCCTCTTAAATAAATAATATTATACTAAATAAATCTAGTTATTCAGTAGTATTTTAGTATCTAGCCTACTCAATGTTTGTTTCCTGGAGGCTAAACGATGCATGGCCTGCTCATGGAAGAAGTGGACATCCTGTGGAGTCTCTCAGTTGTTTTTGGCTTTTGAAAAGATAAGTTATATCTCCAAAAGAAAACTTAAAAAGTTTTGGGATGAATGGACAAATCTTTGTACAACCTTCTGGAGGATAATGATGAACAGATGTGTCAGTTGGACTGTTGTGTTTTTCTTTACCTGTGTCTCTGACTGTAACGCTTTAACCTTTTTGTGTATTCTTATAAAAGACAATAATATTATTGATGAATAGGGCTCATCAGTGTGGTCCCAGAAATACAAATCCCACTGATTTTCTCCATAGTGGATTTGATTATTAGCCATAAAGTCAAAACCTTCCCAGGTAGACCGACCACGAGCTACTCAAGTGTGAAACGATGGTTTATGTTCCTGTAGGAGACAAGTTACTATGATAGCATCCTCGTTTTCATAAAAACATCATTTATTCACGATGTTAGGGGAAAGAACTACACTACCCACCACCACAGTGTCACAACGACGTCTCTGATTGGTAGCGCTCGCTGTTACCATGGTAATGTTTCACAGACAGATAGTTCTGCTAGCAGGCTAGTTAGTTAATTAGCCATCACGAAATGTACTAATAACCTCGTCATGCTGCAGTGAATAAAATATATCTCTTTATACACAAACTTCATATTACACCACCTGTTTAACAATTTAAAACACTATAATAAAGAGAAAGGTTACATTTAAGAAGAAGCGGTTTCATTCGCAGTGGATTGTGGGATACGTAGTTTATTGACTCAAAACAAACATGTACACACTTGTACCTTTGTCTTTTGTCTTTAAATGTTTTATAGTCATTAGTGTTGTGGAAGCTGGTTGTCTTTATCAATCTGTTGATAAAAGGATTTTGGAGGATTTGAACAGGCAGCAGTGTTCGCTCACTGTGAACAATTCTCTGAAATTACATATTGTTGTACTTTTTCAATTTCCATAATAAATGAAAAATAACTTCCCTGCTCCGTGTTTCTGCGCAGCCCGACTTTAATTATTTCAACCCGGCACAACATGGACCAAATGTGCTTTTATTCACAACGGTTTCCCCGTAGGGAGCCTTCACGTGCCTTTTAGTCGTAAAAGTTTTATGCTCTCCGATTATTCCGGCAGCAAGTGAAGGCATCATAATTAAGATTAAACTAGCTGGCGGATAAACTCCGGTAATGTATACAATCTTCAAAGTCCCACCTGTAACTGAATCAAAGGGTTGTTTTTTTAGTTTCCTGGTAGTTAATATTACTAAAATAACATTCAATAAAAGTGATACAATTAAGCTAAATGGTCAAATTAACGCGTATCAACAAAGATGAAAGTAAAGCAACATCTGAACTGTTAGCATCTGTGTGTTTCACAGGAGCTTTCAAAATGTCTTACTGGATGTGCTGCAACGCCTGCTTCCTCTGTCCCAGTGCTGAGAGGAAGCTGGCTGTCACCACCTGTGGACATGTCATCTGTAGTGTCTGTTTTCAGAAAGGTAAAGACTTTATTATTATGACTACAAAGGGAAGAACAGTCAGTGTGGGTAATGACTCAGAATCATCCTGCTGCTGCCTCCTGCAGGAGGAAACAGCGACATCTGTTGGATTGAAAGTGTTACTGCAGGGAGGATGACTCCACGTACTAAAACTAAAAAGTCTTTATTGTAATGATTGCTCACCTCTTAAACACTTCACTTAGTGTAAGCTGTGGTGCCTTAATCAATCAAACTTTATTTATACAGCACCTATAGTGCAGAAAAGTTGTTGGCAAAAAGTAGTTTATAAAATCATTGAGAGACTAATGCACACCAATAAGAACTAAAAAATATGTTTAAAAATAAAATAAATAAAAGCAACAAGATATTAAAATAAATACATAAGAGGAAAATATTTAAAATTGTAGTAGGATAAAAAGACGATACAGTAATGTTAAGATTTGAATTGATATAAAGAAGTATATAAAAGCCAGACTGAATAAATGAGTTTTCAGATTGCGGGCTCCTCTCAGACCCTCAGGAAGGTCGTTCCACGGTCTCAGAGCGTAACAGCTCAAAGGTTTTCTGTCCTGCTCTGTGGAACAACTAAGAGAGAGGAAGTGGAGGATCTGAGGGGCCGTACTGGTTCATAAACTAAAATCATGATCTGATAGGTAGTCTGGTGCAAGGCCATGTAAATATAACACTCAGGATACAAAATTTACTTTAACTAAAATATGTATTATAAATAATAAATTAGCAAAAACACAAAATGTAACAAATTAAGGTTAACTCTTGGAGCTGGTGGAGAATTAATTAAACACATGACACAGAATGTTGATAACCGGTTTGGTATTTCAAAGTTCAATTTTTAACAAATAACAAAAAACACTTGAACTTAATCAAGGAAAATACCACAATTAAAGAAAAGAAAATAGGCCTTCAATTCACAGATCCTTAAGGGCATTTTTTACCCTCCATTGGCTAAATATTCCCAATTCTATTCGTATAAATCAACTCACCAAAACACATCACACGTACTGCAGTTATTTGTTTTGTGTGTGCAGATGGCCAACAAATTCAAATGTTTATTTAGGTAGGGGAAATCCTACCACACCCTTTAACCAGACAGCCAGGCTTGAGGCCTGCCTTTTGAGGGAATCTTGAGTCTTTTGAAGTTGCTCCTTTAGCTCGCCATCTTCTTTGCTCCGGCAACATGGCCTGACCTGTTTAGGGAAACAGGTAACAACATCACACGTCTGCTCAATTTGGGAGCAGCAATTTAATCAAATGTTCCATTGTGGATGTCTCACCAGTGTTCAGTCCTGAAACATTCCTCCTCAGCAGCAGCAGCACAGCAGCTCCTCAAGGGCTTGAAGTCTCAGTTCAGTTAAGTCCAGCTTTGTGTCAGGGGTTGAAAAGCACAAGTTTTTCTTTCAGAAGTTCTCCTTGACTGTTTCAGGAATGACTGTCTCCTGCTGCCTTCTGACTGACTCCTTGATTGGTTTCAATCAGGTGATTAGTTTACCTGGGGAAAGGGGATACATGCCTGTTGGCTGCAGGCTGCATCCAATTGGCTCGGGGGATTTGAATGACAGTTGCTGTTGTCCAATTTCAGCAGTGTTACATAATGCTTTATAAACTAATAAAAGAATTTTAAAATCAACATGAAAACTAACAGGCAGCCAGTGTTATTTTAATGCAACATAAACTATATCCATATTAACGAGATCGTCTTACCCTATATCTTGTTTGAAAATATATCGATATATCTTAAAAACTCGATATATTTCCCAGCCCTAAGTGTAACTACCTTGACCTCTGGGTTGATCTCTCTGCTTTAAAACACAAATTGAGTCCACTTTTTTAATAACAATAACTCTTTCCAGTGTAGTTACTGTGTAATTTTCCATTATTGTATTTTTTTATTAAACTGAAATAATTAACTGATAAATATGTTTGATTTGATTTTTAACTTCTATTTTTATTTTTGATAATTATATTCCCGTTTTCTGGAGCTGCTGTAATGCACAAATTTCCCCCACGGGGATCAATAAAGTTTATCTTTATCTTTATCTTTATCTTAATCTTTACCTTTACCTTTATCTTTATCTTGACCTTTATCTTAATCTTAATCTTAATCTTTATCTTTATCTTTATCTTTACCTTTATCTTAATCTTAATCTTAATCTTTATCTTTATCTTTATCTTTATCTTGACCTTTATCTTTATCTTTATCTTTATCTTTATCTTTATCTTGACCTTTATCTTTATTTTTATCTTTACCTTTATCTTTACCTTTATCTTAATCTTTATCTTTATCTTTATCTTTATCTTAATCTTTATCTTTATCTTTATCTTTATCTTTACCTTTATCTTAATCTTAATCTTAATCTTTATCTTTATCTTTATCTTTATCTGACCTTTATCTTTATTTTTATCTTTACCTTTATCTTTACCTTTATCTTAATCTTTATCTTTATCTTTATCTTTATCTTTATCTTAATCTTTATCTTTATCTTTATCTTTATCTTGACCTTTATCTTTATCTTTATCTTAATCTTTATCTTTATCTTTATCTTTATCTTTATCTTTATCTTTATCTTTACCTTTATCTTTATTTTTATCTTTACCTTTATCTGTGGTCGTTATGAAGGCAGCATACTGTATTGTTCTGTTACCTGTTGTAATTTTCAGGTAGGAAAAATGATTATAACTTAACTGCTGCTGCCCACGTATGGAGCCAGGACAGTGACAGCTACAAAAAAAGAAACATTGGCATTGAAACACTGGAACACATTGAAACATTACTTTTTCCAGCTCGAGTCTACACGTCCTCTATTCATGCACCAAGAGAGTTTGTCATTTTGTCTGTATTCATTTGCAACTCTCCTCTCAGGCAACCAAGGCAAGTGTTTAATATGCAACGCCAAGTGCCAGATATCCCCTCTCTCTGACAAAGTAAGCATCGTTCTACTCTATCTTTGGGCTGGATAAACTTTCACTTTATTCTAAATGTAAACAAAGATGAATCAATCTTTTTTAGGGGTCATAAGATTTGTCTTCTTTTTCTTCTTTCCAGAGCAGCTCAGAGGTGAAGGCCCTGTTCACCGACATCAATGTTGTCGCAACCAAGCACTTCACTGAAATCAGCAAGGTTTGGTTATTGTTCCTTTAGCTTTATATTCCAAATGTTGAAGGTTCAAGTTAAGAAGTTTCTGTTTGGTGGAGTTATATGTAACTGTAGAGAGTTCCTGTTTCCATTGTGTTGAAAATGAAGCCGATGCTGAAGTGTAAAATCCTGCAGTTCCTGGAGTGTCCACTAGAGGCTGGCTGCAGAAGCACAGGAAGTCACATACACACCCATTCTAAAAAGCCTGTTTTTACAGCAGAGATGAACATGTTTACAGCCTGGTTCAAAAAACCAAACAGGTGTGATTAGCTCATGTCTGGATGGACACACACTGTACGGGGGGTGAATGTTTTGATGACTCATCCGTTTTGATTTGATGAAGGATAAGAGTTATTCACAATAAGGCGTGTAGCTGACCTGATTGACAGGTGGGCGCGGTGTAACGGTTTGTCAGGAGGTTTAAAACCCGCCTCAGCTCCAGCTCTCAGCCTGTCGTTAGGTTGACTGAAAGTTAGACTGAGACAGCATTTCCAGCATGGAGACCGCCATCGATGAGACTCCAGCGCCCCCTGCAGGAACAGACAGGGGACGCCACTTAGGCTTCATCCAGTAATATTTACAGTCTATGATTGACACAGGTGGATGATTTAAGATGAAGCAGGTGCTTCATAAATGTACAACTTGAATCAAAAATGAAAAAAAAAGTATCCGGCTTTATTAAGCGAGTTTACACTTTTATGCACTATTATAAATATATTTTGTTGTTATTTTTTTTCACAGACTTCATGCAGAACTGTGTCTTTCCCTTTTTCTCAGGTTTTTATGTTCCAGGCAAGACATCAAAAGAGACTTTTGGCTCATTACCAGCAAAGGGTGAGAGACCGCTGCCTAATGTTGCAGGATGTTTGATGGTGTGTGTGTGTGTGTGTGTGTGTGTGTGTGTGTATTTTAGGGGTTTGCCTCTCTCATTGGGCAGCTAGATTGTCACAGCTGTCACACTCCATTCATTCAGCAATTGTAGAAAATGTGTGACATTTAGTGTTTTTGGTACTGGAATCGGTCTTGGTCTCGAGACCACTTTTTGAAGGTCTCGGCCTCTTCTCGCAATCGAAAGCATCTTGGTCTCAGACTGGGCAGACTCCAGATTTTAAATCAAGATAGGTCAAGACCACCACTGATCGGCTAGTCATCACTGTGATGAGAAGGAAAACTCCTCTTTCTAAAAGAACAAATAACTTTGTTTGATTTTTATCCCCCGGTTACGGACACAACCTTCCCGTTGTTACGGTTGAAGTGAGGGACACGCCCCCTAAACACAAGATGATGATTTTTCTGAGATATTTATGGTGTTGGTCCCTAAATGTCTCGGTTTTTTCTCGTCCTCGGAGCACTCTGGTCTCCGGTATATCTCGGTCTCGGTTAGTGTGGTCTTGACCACAACACTAGTGACATGAATTACTTCAATCTGCCGACCTTGTTCTGTTTTGACTAAAATGGATGTAAACACGTCTTACAGCGCTAACCTTTTCTTTTTGAAATGTGATGCAGAGCGAGAAGCTGGAAGACGTTTTAGTCAAGATGAAGCAGGAAATGCAGCAGATGTCAAAGTAAGCTACATGCTTCTCTTTCATTCTTTCTTTCTTTTACATGTTTATAAAATCCAGTTCATGACATGGAATATCGACTTGTGTTCCTTTTTTTAAAGGAAGCTTAACGAACAGAGCGCCTACATTGCAAAGCTGGAAAACTCCCTTCAGCATCACAGGTACAGCACAGACCAGACACCTCTTACATATATCCATACTGTGGGT